TTTTTTTTTTTTTGAATTTTGTTGTCGATATTTTCAACATAATATAGTTTGAGCGAAATTTAGATGACTCGTATATAAGTCACTAACGTTTTCATTCCATTTGCAAATTAAAAATGTCATCAAAAAATTTGGAAGGATATAAGACAGACAGTGAAAAATGTTCCTTCAAAAAATCTCATGTTTTTGGGATGTTTTAATTTTCAAATATATGAGCAAGGGATCATTTTAAAAAACTGTTAAACTAGTATATTTGTTAGAACTGTTCATTTTATATTATTTTGTCATGTGGTAACTGTTACTGTCATTACATTACGGAAATGTTAGATTCTTTGTGTCACACTTTTTGCAGGACGCAGATTTGCAGTGATAGTAAGTGTTATCATTGCAAATCTGCGTCCTGCATTGCTTTTGTTTTTTCCTTTCATCACTTAACACATTTCTCACTGTCAAGACAAAAATTATGGTTATATTACTAAAAAAATAAGTTTCCTTACAATTTTGTTAATTTTTGACTTGCAGTCTCATTTGTCAGCTACTCATAATAATATGTTAGTAAAAATTTATTTATTTCTTTAGTAAGGAAAAATATTTATTGAATTGAGAATCAGAATTGTCTGGTTTTGGTTACGTTCTTTTTAATTCATTTCTAATTTATTTTATCGTGCTGAATAGTGGTTGTGGGAAGTGGAAGATGAAGAGTTGTTTTGTTGAAACACTATTTTCACCAGAACTTTTAAACATCTGGTTGCTACTTAAGACTTGTGTAGAATAAAGTTGAGTGAGAGGTGCATAAAGTAAGAAGTGTAGTAACTTGATTTTCAGTATAAATGAATTGAGAGGTCATTTAATTATTATATTTCTGTTGTGATATGTCACAGATATTTTCACCACATTCTATGGAACTTAGGAAATGAATTTATGAAGAGTTACATTCTTATATGTGAGTTTACATCTTATTAATATATGGTTGGCAGTCGGCGTGACTATTTCCGTATGTCAGCCAACAAAATTTGATCTTGGAGGAATGTCGCATTGTACGTAAACTATAGTTTTTTTAATCTTTCACATTACTATAGATATTTTTGAATTTTTAGTTCTAACTCGAAATATGAAGATATTACGATTGTTACGAAAATCAGATGCATTGAACATTTTAGTAACAGCGTGTGATTTGGATGTTACTCAACTGAACAAGAAGTACAACGTGATACAATGGGGCGAACCCGGAGTTATGCCGAAAGAGATTTTGATTAAGGAAATAACTAATGCGCAAGCACTTGTTTGCCTTGTAAGCTGTAACGCCGATTTTCTCTTGGTATATTTTTGATTGCTGGTCCTGTTAATTGTATAAAATTTCAATTTTTAGTTGCGCGATAAAATAGACTCTGACGTTCTGAAAGCTTGCACAGATTTACGAGTAATTTCGACACTTTCTGTCGGCTATGATCATATTAACTTGGAAGAGTGTAAAAAACGGTATCATTTTTATCTCATTTTCAACAAATTTTGGATACAGTTCTTTAAAATTATTTGTAAAAAAAATCAGCTATATTAGTGTGGATTAGTTTTTGATTTTAAAAGTTATTAATTTGTGCAGTGGAATCATTGTAACAAATACACCTGATGTGTTGACGGAGGTGACAGCAGAAACAACTGTTGCTTTGTTATTGGCAACAGCAAGACGGTTTCCAGAAGCAATAAACGAGGCTAAAACTGGCAAATGGGGAACCTGGTCACTATATTACATGTGAGTTATCTAATATGCATATTGTTTATAAATTTGACTTCTCAGTTTTTATGTACTATAAAGCCATGTAGTTGAAACCATGTACGAATTTTACATTAAATTTTTTGCATCTTATTTTGCACTTCCTTATAAAGAAATATTGATGTCGCAACTCATGTACTGAGCATATTCGAATTTGCCATCAGGTGTGGTGTTGGATTACATCATTCAACTGTCGGTATCATTGGAATGGGTCGTATTGGTCTTTCGGTAGCTGAGAAAATAAAGTCATTTAAACCTGCACATATACTCTATCACAATCGCAGACCAAATGAAAAAGATATGGCATTTTCATATGCATGATTATTATTTAATTTCTACTTCTGTTTCATTATTCTTCAAAATATTTTAAAGGAATGACAAAAAAACTAGCAGAATAAGAATATGTACTTTGTATATTATTCTTATATATTAAATTTGGGATTTTCAGAAGATAATATGCTCTTATCTTTATTTTTTAGATGATGAATTATATAATACGGTCATGTTCATAGCTATGAATGAAGAGGGAATGTGTCAAAACGTTGTTTAAAAAATGTACTGACGAAATTGTGATATATATTCATAATTTATTTTAGGAGCTGCCAGAGTTGGAGCTGAATATGTTGCTTTAGAAAAGCTGCTAAATCAATCTGACTTCGTCATTTTGACATGTGCTTATTCTCCAGAATTAAAAGAGCTGATTAATAAAGATACATTATCGAAAATGAAAAAAAATGCAATTTTGATCAATACTAGCAGGTAATAATATTTTCATCACATATAACTGAATGTGGTTTTTTAATTTTGTTTCTTGTAATGCATTTATTTTTCCTATACTTTTTCGTTTCATTTACTTTTCATATTTACAGACTTTAATTATTTTCCTTATCTCGTTTAATCTCAGATTTTTAACTTCTATAACAAGTTGTTTTTGTCGTCTGAAAAATGCATATTCGATTATTTTATCAAAGAATAGGTTTTTTTCTAAGTAATGAGTACTATTTTTTCAGAGGAGCTTTGATTAATCACGGTGATCTGTACGTCGCTTTACATACCGGTCAAATTCGTGCAGCTGGGTTGGATGTCACTAATCCAGAACCATTACCAATGAACAATCCGCTCTTTTCACTCCAGAACTGTGTTATTTTACCACATATTGGTTCAGCAACTGAATTTGCACGTACTGAAATGTTTAATCTTGTGCAGGACAGTATACTTCGTGTATTAGACGGCTTAGAATTAGCAGAACAAGTCCGAGTTGTATGATAGTGCTCCAAAATCGCTTCAGTAGACCCATATTCGTTTTTTTTTTTCTGCATCATGGCATAGTTTATTTCTTATTTTATCTTTCATATTTGTATTTTGATAATTCACATAATTATTATTGAAGTATAATGAAAAATCATTGTTGTTCTTTCCTTGGCGGAAATTGTCGCCCCTACGATTTGCTAATTTTTATGATGATTTAATTTGTTGGAAACCTTCTAATATAATTTTGAGCTTGACTAATTATCGTATCTTTACTTTAAAAGTTTCATTTCACTTTTAGTCATGCAAGAATGGATTTAATTGTTAATATCTACTGCGTTATTATGCTTTTATTTTTGTTCGTTTATCTCTCTCTCTTTACATGCTCACATTGCATCATTTTTTGATCGCTACGTATTTCTCAAATACTGTTAATCGCGCAATTCCTTGTGATAAAACACATTCCGTTATTAGATCAAAACAAAATTCAAAATACATGTCTCGTACAGATAAGGAAATTAGATATCCTCGATCTCCTCTTATGTATCAGATTGAGTAAAGCAAGCAGTAGTGAATTGTAATTCTATGAGAAAACAAGTTCTATCATAGTGAAGACGTGAGTAATAGTAACTTAACCATCACTGACTAATTGAAAAAGCTTTAAGTAGAAGCTATACTTCTCCTAGAGTATAATATGTGATATCAAAGGTATACTCAGTACGATTGGATATGATACTGCTGCTGATTTCTGGAAATCTATCAGTTGATACATGCAAAAAATAATGAACAGAAAGGCATTTGCTATGGATGAAGGAGTGCTGTTCAGAAGTATCATTGGAGCTTCTGTATCGATGATTGTACATAAACGCTTTGTAGTCATTTTTATATTACGATGAGAAGTTTAAAATTATAGTATGGTATGGTGGGACTTTCATTACCTTATCACTGTTATCAGTGGTTTTGAGCATTTTTTTAGCAATAATAGGCTGTTGTCAGTCAGGTAGTTCCATATGCTGATGTTGTAAAGCACTAGTGCTTCTTTCTTTATAATCGAAAATTCTACTGTTTAATTGATGATTGTTGCTCCATTTAATTTTAACAGTGACTTTTTAAGAATATTTTTTGTACAAGCTTTTCGCGGAAGTAAATTGAATTATAACCGAAGTTTTAGCTTTGCCAAAAATGCAAAATATCATCCGATCGACAAAATTCTCAAACGCAGCTAGCGTTCTGATAACAGCTGGAGACATAACAGTTCCACGGATCTATGATCGCTTTAATGTTTGTCAGTATAAAGAAGTAAAATCAATGCCTAAAAATGTACTGATGGAAGAAATACCAAAGCATGAAGGACTTTACTGTTTGGTTAAGTTCAAATATTAACTTAATTTCTTTATCGAGAATTTTTTGTGATTTTTATTTTCAATAGTTTTAGCCTAAATATTTGTGGTGGATTATAACCGAAGTTTTATGTATGAAACTATTGTATGCGATTTTTGGTTTTATGCTATAGAAGCAAACATACAATAATTGATTTGGATTTGAAGATTAGATTTTAATGCTAATCATCATGAAAAGAAGTTTAGCAGAACGGAATGTTTTGAGACTGTGTCTCAAATGGCTTTGACTTTACATATTTTCACTGACTTCTTAATGAGTAAAGATGGGAATACAACCAATCTCCTGACGATAATAATTTCAGCTTCGAGATAAAATTGACAAAGAGTTAATATCGGCAGCAAAGAAGCTCAGAGTGATATCTTCGATGTCTGTAGGATTCGATCACATTGATGTGGAAGAATGCAAGAAGAGGTGTAAAGCACATATTCGGCTTTTTCTCTTTTTTTTGGAAGATAATTGTAAATTCATATGTTTTCAATTTTGTCTGATCAATAAACTTATCATTTAGAAATATTGTGGTAACGGTTACGCCTAATGTTCTTACCGAAACAACAGCTGAAACTACAATTGGTTTACTAATAGCAACAGCAAGAAGGTTTCCAGAAGCAATCAGAGAAGTGAAAACTGGTGGTTGGGGTACCTGGTCACCATACTATATGTAAGAAATCAGATCACAATTGACTACCTATGAAATTCATCGTTTGTTCACTAAATAATTGAAGGTGTGGAGTGGGATTACGTGATTCAACAATTGGTATTATTGGTATGGGGAGAATAGGCGCATCTGTTGCCGAAAAACTGAAATCTTTTCATCCAAACCGCATTTTATTTTATGATATAAGCTACGACCAAAAGAGTAAGTACAGTATTCATTAAACATTTTGATATTTTCGAAAACTTTATATATCCAATAGCGAAAATTTTCTAATGCTTTTTGAAAACTGTTGACTGAATAACTTTATATATTCAATAGCGAAAACTCTATATATCCAGTAGCGGATTATAACCGAAGTTTTATACATTGGTTGTTTTCAAATACCAGTAAGCTATACACAACAAATGTCGAAAACTTTGAATATTTTCAGGAATTATAAGCTTTCATTCCTAATACTTATTACTATTATGTTATTACTGTTATTAAAAGTGGCAGTATGCAAACCATAGTGTTCAACACAATGACACATTATATAAAGCTTTAATGAAATTTTCTATGTACTTGAGAATTTTTCAGAAACAGAAAAATTGGGCATTGACTATGCTTGCATCGATGATTTATATTCCAAATCAGATTTTATCATTTTAAATTGTGTAGCAACCGAAAATAATAAAGGAATGATCAACAAAAATTCTCTTTCCAAAATGAAGCGAAACGCTGTGCTAATTAATACGAGCAGGTTAATCGTGACTATCTTATTTTTTGGAGTAACATAACAAAATTGATTTATAGCAGAACTGTTGAAATGTTTGTTTTTCTATAGAGGCACATTAATTAATCAAAAGGATCTATATGAAGCCTTAACAAAAGGACAAATTCGTGCTGCTGGATTAGATGTAACAACACCTGAACCACTACCTTTGGACGATCCTCTCCTGAAATTAGATAACTGCGTCATTTTACCACATGTTGGTTCAGCAACTGAAGCAACAAGAAAAGATATGATGAGACTTGCAGAAACGTGCTTGATAGAAGGACTTACAGATGGAAAGATTCCGGATGATGCTCGCATTGTCTGATTTCCATTTTCTCTACATTACGTCAAGTTGTCTATGAAAACTTGCATTTTCCTCGTAAATGTCTTTTTCTAGCTATTTTTTATTTATAATAATAAGTTAGATTAATGCAGACAACTGATAGCAAAAAGGAACGAATACTAGAAAATTCTCCTCAATTTTTTGCGATATTTCTTTTTTACTCTGTTAATTCATTCCACACTTTAGTACTGAATTTATATGCGAAAAATTTTTGTGATTGGGGGTGCATTAGTAGTTAAGGTACTGACTGTGTTCAGTCGGTTACTGCTGTTGCTGAAATCAATTTCAAATAGCATTAGCTGATATTTTATTCTTCTTTTTTAGCGCAAAATACCCGAAAGAATAATTGAACTACTATAAGCTGAAAATATGATGTCGTTGTATCAGATCCATAAATAAAGTTGCTGTTAGTCAGTACTTTCGAAAAGAAATAAATTTTTATTACAGTAAGTCACGAAAACAACATATAAGACTTTATGACATGGTAATTGCTTCCAAGTACGGAATGTCGGTACTTATAAGTATTCTCATTTCTTCGTTTGAAAAATTATGGACAACTATAAAGTTGACCGACCTTTTGATATGTATTAGATCGTAATTTCTGCTGTTACATTATCTTGCTTCTAGTTGCTTAAGCGCATATGTATTAATTGTATTTTAAAAAAAAGTTAATGAATATAGAGTTCTTGGAAAATGTTTCTAGACATTGTTTAAAAAACAAAAAAAAGAAGCGGGAGAAAATAACGAGACAAACTGTAAACTTATAAGTGTGGATGATATATATATATATATGGATAAGAATCTCATTTAGAAGGATAATATTATAAATGGGTATGACAAAAAATAATCTGAAATCTATGTGCTGGATAAATTTTGAGACTTTACATTGTTCCTATCCCTTTCTCTTATCTAAAATGTCCGATCACTTTCTATTTGGTATATTTTAGCACTAAAACGCAATTAACTTTTGTGTAACAAAACTAATACTATAGTGAGAGTAGCAATATGGAAGTATTATCGAGAAAGAATTAGGATGCAAGATGTAATAAATAGTCAGGAAGTATTGTCGTAAAGAACCAATTTTTGGACATAATCAGGTATTATTATCTCTCAACGGTTTGTGCACTGTTTACGAATGAATGGCCTTGAACTTGTCTGATCCATTTTATCCGATAGAAGACGATACAATTTGATGAGTATTGATGACTCTGGCAATAGATCCATTTATTTGCGTTCCTGTAACCAAAAGATTGCTTTTTTCCCTATTCAACTGTCAATAACAACTTTAATGAGACTATGCATACAAAGATAAATAGAGAAACAAAAAGATGAAAAAAAAAGAATACATTATTAGTTCTTTTCATTTGTCTGTCAAGTACACTGTTAAAATTCTTGAAGGAATAAATAAAGTGAGCACTGTTTGGACAATAATTTATTCGATTTCATTCCTCACTTATCAACAGATAGATGGGTGGTCATTTGTTATGGGTAAAAATCATTTACAAGATGAAAATAGATATTATTACATTTTAGTATGTAAAGTGGTGATCAACACCCTTATTAAGATTAGCACAAAACTGAGTGATGGATGAGCGAATCGCTTTGATTTGTATTGTTTATTTTGGTCACGTTAAGGATGCAACGAAGGGGGTAGGTCACGAAAGGTTCTGGAAAAGCTTATATATTACGAGAAGTCGATCAATGCCTGCTTATATATAGATAGTGAGTTCGGTGACTTCATGGTTAGATGGATAAATAGCTGACCTCGAAGAAGCAAAAGATGGATAAAGAAATATCTGAATGATTATAGGGTAAGTAGCCAATGATGAGTGACTGATCCCTGGGTGCGGTTCAACAGAGTTCAGCATCAAAGGAAGCGACACCCTTCCCGATGGTATAACGCGACCACTCCGTAGCCTGACCTTTGTGGCAGGTGTGAGCGATATATTCGCACTTAAATGACCATTTTAGTACTGCCTTGATCTTATTCCCCATATTTTTGCCACAGAAATGTTAATTGTACTATCTCGTTATTTCTTTATTTTGAAAGCATTCTTTTGTGCCATTATTTTGTATACAATGTATGACGCAACCTTTGCTTTCATCTCGCAACTGTACATCATATTTTGAGTAAGTAAGCTCATCATATTTTGAATAGCTTTTATTTTTTCTTCTTAGGCAAATGAACCTCAAATTATTAAAATAACGATTATTTCAACTAGCTTCTGTCTCATCATGTGGATAAACAAAGGGATGAAAAAAATAAGTAAGCAAATCATTAATTGAAATGGCTGATGCACAGAAAATTTGTCTTCGCAATTTGCAATGTCTTCAATATTTCATTTGTGTAAGGTAATGCGAAGTTATGGAATGCACATACTATTTTCCTCGAGAAATTCTTGTTTAATTGTTCGATGCATTATAGTATCATGTTTTGTTTATTGTTATCGATAGACTGAATTTCATTATAGAAAACTGATTCTTTGTTGGAGGCAGAAAAAGTGCCATAAAAAGACGGTCTCATAGCAGCTGGTTACCATATGATGATGAGCACAACTCTTTTTGCTTTCAGAAAAAATTACGGACATTTCAGTATGTTATTTATTGCACTATCTAGTTCGCTTGTATTGTTTTACTTTTACACTATGTTAGTGAGAATTGTTATTTAAATTATAGTTGACACTTGTTGGAGTTTGGGCAGCTTATTATCATTATGAACATTATGGCAACTTAAATTTTACAATATATTATTGAGATTACAAATTAATAGTCCGTGACATCATGACATTCATACATTAAAAAATTATTTTTTCAAAGAAAATTTATAGAAATGACATGAGAGAAACTGAGTTTTTTGTATGAAAGGCAATGATAGTACTGATTTAATGGCGGTGCATTGATTCTTTTCGTATTAATTCCTTTTTTTTTAAATTATCAGTAAGAAAGTGGTTGCAGTTACCATTTTACCCCAATCAGTTTGAAATTAGTCAAAGTTTGAACAAAAAAGTAAGCTAATTAAAAAGAAACAAATAAGGTTTGGCAGGCAATGATTTTGGAAATTACACTTTTCGCACGCACAATCGATGATTTAAAAATTGTGATGAAAGCTCTTTAAGTGAGAGACTAAACAATATTTTCACTCATTAGTAAATTGTCTATTCTCAAAGCTCTCATGAAAATCTATCTTGAGATAAATTTTTTACCTTAACTTCGGCCTTGAGAAGAAAAATTCAAGAATTTTGATCTTGCTTTTCTCAAAAAATGCACTTGTTTGGAATCATCTTTTTAAAAGATATAAATTGACTTGGACATAAACAATTTCTCGTAGTTCTGACGATATTTAATTTACCCTATCAATCTTAATACCTTTGAACAAATCTTGGCCGCTTACAGCTTTTATAACTTTTTATAAACTTATAACTTTATAACTTTTATAACTTTTGTAAAATAATGCGAGTAGGCTTGGAAGCGTAAAAAATGAAATACTGATTATTCAGTTGAAAAAATCGCTATAATACTTTATAAATCACTGTATGTTCCGAAAATTTCGATAAGCATTCCATCATCAATCAACCTCGCAGTTTCAAAATTGCATCCTTTTTCAGTGGTTAGCTCAAATTTTTGTTATCAGATAACTCTAATTCCTTCTACTTTACACTGTCCTGTCATAAGATCTTTAATTCTATTTTTGCTAACTCAGCAGATTTGTCATGTAGATTATTTATGCTTGATTTGGTCTTACTCTTTCTGGAAGATAGCTTGATACGAAATATGTACTTCATGTCATAATATTACACTTTTAATTCGACATCTTTTACCTCTAGAAGAAACGATTCTCAGGTGTGTCATTTATTCAGCATAAATTTATCGAAAAGAGATGAATGCAATAAAATGAGCTGTTTTGCATGACAATCGTGAATTGGTTTTAGAGTTAAAGGTAATCAAACAAACTAAATGTGAAGAATTGTTTACGGCAGATGTTGCAGTATTGAATGTGCATGCATGAGCTCCACTAATCATTCAGAAATTCATAATAATAATGATTATGATCCATTTAGCAGTGTAATGCATGAGAAAGTAGTATCGATTAGTCGTTTTTACCAAGAAAAAAGCCCAGTAATTGTCGTTTCTATCAAGAAAAAAGCTCAATAATTGACTGATTCAATGTTTTTTCTATCATTTAAGAATAAAAAAATTGATTGAAGAAGGGAATATTTATTTCTGCGATTAAATTAATAATTTAGAATGATCACTGAAATTTTTATTCGCCGTAAGATATCTGTATATAATTTTTTTGAATAAAACATGACACTATAAGATGACGTCATAATTTATAGCAGTCAAATTGAAACATTTAAAATTTGAAGTGGTGTACCAGAATTGTAAATTAATCCTGATATTCGGTAAAAAGAATAAGATCAGTTTTTGATACTGATTTCAGAAAACTTCGAAATAATAATAGTTACTTAGCTAAGATATGTTTCATTCAGTAGAATAATATCACATTAAAAATTTTCAATGGCTAGCTATGTGCTGTCATAGGTTGTCGTTTGACAAAAAGTTATTAAATAAAATGTGAAATACGACTCAGATACCACGTGGTCAAGTTATTGGTTATTTTATTGTTCAGTATTTTAAACGATTTTATAAGTTTTGCTTCGATGCGAAGTGTAGTTCCAAATTTTATTCAAGCTTATTCTAGATGAAATTAACTTCTAAATTGCTAGCAAGAATTAAAAGTTTTGACAATCCGTTTCATTATTTTAGTCAAATGTTAGCATGTAAAAAGTGGTAAAATTATATTTCAACTTAGCTGCAGCTGTTATAGTGTTACGTAAACCGTATAATATCCAAGGAAGAATTCCAATTTATTCTTCATTCTAGGACTAGCTTGGCATAGAAAAAGATGTTTTTGGGATGTTTACGTGTACTGAGAATGCAAAATATCAGTCACATTAAATGCTGATGCCTGATGATTGTTT